CTTGTTTTTTCACAGATCATCTTGTAAATTCCTGTTTACTATACTGTTTGGAGTCCAAAACTGYTTGCAATACTGTTTGGACTTATATCATCTTGTTAATTGAATTTCTAAGGAATGTGTGAATTTTTTTTTAACTGTATTTCTTTGATCATTTTTCTTGAACTGCATAGATCCTGTATTTGATCAATCTTATTTTTAAAAAAAATGACAGATACTCTAGAGAAGGAGAATGAAGAGATGAGAGCTCAGATTTGCAAGCTGRAAAAGAGCATAGTGGACTATAAAGAAAAATACATAAACRTGTTTTCTGAGAATCATTCTAATGTGGAATTTATTAAAAGTTTACAAAAAGATCATAAAAGAGCTTTGGAAAGAGTTGAGAATGATTCCAAGTACCAAATTAATAAACTTRAAAATTCTTTGGATAATGTTAGAAAAGATTTTGATGATGAATTGAAAATATGGTGTAAAGCTAATAAAGATCTTTTCAACAAACTCCAAGAAGTTCAGAATGAATTAARAGCTGAAATAAATTCTTYAGGTAGAAAGCATAATGAAACTGATGACTTAACTGATAAATCTCGTAAGTCGGAAAGTGATCTGATTGAGCTAAGAAAGCTACTGAATTTAGAGAAAGAAAAGGTTTTAGAAGTGGAAAAGGATTTGAATGCTGAAAGGAAAGTTTGGAGAAAGAGAATAATAAGATAATAGAAGTTGAAAGAAAATTTGAAGYTGAACGTATATCTTATGAAAATWAGATTAATTCACTTGAGCTGAATGCTAAATTTCTTTTGAATCAAATTTCAGATTTTGAACAACTTATCATCTTGGAACGAGCCAAGGTTGATAAAGAAAAGAAATAGGCTGAACAAAAGCAGAAAGCTCTAGATGAAGAGAAAAGATTGTTTGTTCTTGAGAAGAGAAGTAYTGTCAAGAAACATGCTGCAATTGCCAAAGAGCTTACTGAGAAAAARAAATKGCTTGACATTGCTTCAGAGAATGATAAGGGAAGTTCAGATGAAGAAAGAAAGAAGTTTGAGAAAGAAAGAAAAGTGTTTAAAAAGTTGAAGAAAGAACTAGAAGGTAAGTTTTTGGATACTTCAAAGAAGTTGTTTGATCTAGAGACAGAACTTGTGACTGAATTGAACATGAGAACTGAACTTAAGAAGAAGTATGATTAGTTGCTGATGAGAGAGATCAGTTACTTAAGAAAGTTTCAGACTTTTCAACAGCTG